ACCCGAAACAATTGGGATAAGTTTTTGGGACTGCTTCCCGAAATATTTCAATCTTTATGATCCAAAAGGTACCAAATAACATTTGAGACTAGATAACGTTAAAAGACTGATTATTTTTGTAAAATTTTAAAAAGTTTTTTGTTTTTCACAACAAGTTTATAATATTAAATTTGGGGAACATTCAGATTTACACAAACTAATTTAAACATTGTAATTTATTTATAATATAACAGTAAGAAAATAATTCTATTGCTCATAAAAACAACGATGATACTAAATTATTTTGGATGAAATTTATTTGTGTTATTTGTCTTTTTAAATAAGCAAATAACAACACTTATACTAATAATGTCACTCATTGCAAATTGAAGATAATGTACAAATAAACTCTAATGTAATTTTTTAAATGAAGATCGAACAATTAAATGGAAAATAATACAAATGTGATGAAACAATTGGAAAATGTTATAAAAATTCTAAATGATAACATAATGATTGATAAAAAGGTGATTTATTAAATTTCAGAGAATACAAAGGTATATTTCTTGTGTCTTACATGAAAAATTGACTCTTTCGAATATATTATCAATTGACATGTTTTGATCTCTAAATTGTTTAACCAAATCAAAATATCTTTCCACTGATATTGTTGTTGGCGAAATAGTTAAACATATTTGAACAATTTGAATCAATTTTAAACATTGATTACATTCAAGTATATCCCAAATGTCCAACAATGAAACACGTTCATTTCCAAAAACAAATTTTCTTAAATCGATATCATATTGAGTTAAAGGTAATTGTTTTCCAGCATTTATTTTTAGCTTTTCTTTTTCTTCTTCATTTAAAGTTATTAGTTTCATTGTAATTGTTTCAATTTCATTAAACAATGTAGGAAACGATGTTTCAATTAATTGGTGTTCGGGTATATTATTATTTATTATAATGTCTGGTAAATAAAAAATATACATCAATGAATCCAAATCATCTGCATATATTATATGTTTTTGATATCCTGGATTTAATTTACAATTAGCAATGTCAAAAAATTGTTCTACATCACGAATTTCCGCAGAGGATGTTATTGTATCAAAACGAACGTCAAAGTATAACGATGTTCGGATCAAAACTTCACGAAGAAATTCATAATTTTTGTGATCATCTTTTGAAAAACTATGAAATGCATCCAACTTGTGTTCATCGTTATCATCCAATCTTTTTACTAAAATTTTCAACATTTCTTTAAAATTTGTAGCTCTTGACCAAAATACAGGCAATGTGCAATCTATGCTTTGGAAGGAATCATTTAAGTCCTTCAACAATTTAAGTATATCATATAGAGCATGAAATTTGTTTTCGATTTTATCATCACAAATGTTAAAATTATTTATATCAGCAATTGTAGAATATTTGCAATTTCTTTTTAAATAATCTTTAAAATCACATTCTTTGTGTTTAACAAATAAACAAATGTTTTTAAACTGACTGCATACACTTTTTATATTATCACAAATTGAAAGAAATCGTGTAATAGCTACGGTATTTAATTTTTTAGACATGATGTTATGTTCATTTTTAAAATCCTCAAATTCTTTGACGTTAGTTGTCGAACACACAAACGTAACCAAATGGTACATTATGTTAAGTTCTGTCTTACGACAGACACATTCTCCAATCAATGCAGTTTTATGACAAAAACACCAATTTACCACATTATATTTACTAATTATATCCACTTTTTGTAATTTAAATGATGCCATAAGCTTTTTAAATTCGAAAATCGAACGCTGCGCATTACTGGCCCCATCACACGTTTCGGCTACAATTTTTTGAAATGGGAATTTGGGATCTATTTCCAGTAAATTTTGAAATAACCATTGGGCAATGGCTATTGAATCCTCTTTTCCTGATAATACTTTAGTGATTATTGGAAACGTTTTAAAAACTTTTCCTATACACATTCGACAAATAACAACCATTTTATTTTCAGACTTTGAAGAACTATCATAAGAAAGTGCTAAACAATCACTTTGAAATATATCTTCTTTTAAAGACGATTTATTCATTAAATTAAATTGGTTTATTTCTCTAAAACTATTTCTTGAAGAAGTTCCTAGTTTTGGTAAATATTTCAAAGCTTCTTTAGCAAATACACTCACAAAAACAAAAATGTCATTTTGTACACCATTTATTTGGCTTTGTGACAACCGCGTTTCTGTATTAATTGAAATAATAATAAATGCTGTTAGCCTTTTTCGTATCAACTCGTATCGTTTCCACTCCTTTTGAATATGATCATGACTTTCAAAATATTTAAACAAAAAATTAATAATAGCAGTGAAGTTGTTATCACAAAATAATTTATTGATAAAACAATACTCTTTAATTGATAATATCAAATTATACCACGGCCAATCTAGTATTGGAGTTTTTCGTATTTTATCAAATATTCCATCTTTAAAAATTTCAATTGGAATATCACAAACACCTTTTTAAAGTTTGGGATTATGAACAGGAACAGGAAATGAATAATTTAATGGGGGTTCATTGTTTATAGATTGTTCTATTAAATATTGAGAATGTTGGACTGGTGTAAATGAACTTTGACTATTATAATTGTTAAATTGTTCAGAAACTTCTGATGTTGGTGTGTTATTAACATCACTTATTTGTTTTTGATGTTGATCTATGGTTTCGTTATATAATAAACTGGAGCAATCTTCATTTGAAATTTGGTTATAAGTTGCGGTGGAACACTCAAAGTTTTTATATTCAAATGCTGTCTCCGAGTCGTTATGATCCATGGCCACAACAATTTTACTAATACGTGGTTTACTCTGATTAAATTTTATTATAGAATCAAGTTCGTCTATCTTTTCTTTTCTTTGTTCTTCGATCTCACATATAATAGAACGAATTAATTCCATATTTAAACCGCCATCAACAGGAGGTTGCTCTTTAAACCATTCAGTTGAAATGATATCTCTGCAATATAAAGGAAGTCTATTTTTGTTGCTGGGCAACAAAATGTACTCTACAAAAACTCTAACTATATCAATCTTATTTTGAGTTTTGACTTTCACTGTTATTGGATTGATGGTTGTTGGTGTGTTGAGTGATGAGTACAAAAAATATATAAATTCAGCAAGAGAAGTTATTTTTTGATCAAAATTCATTTCTTGATACACAAAAACATGTTTACTGTTATGTGCTTTATAAGAAGTTTTTAACATTCAAATTGAATCAAGGAAACAATAGACAAATTCATTTCCATTGAAAGTCGCTAATAAATAACCTGAACGAAACATTGACTCATTTTCTAAAAAGGACAAACGTGGAAAGGAAGACATTCTTTGATCTTATTTTTATCTCAATAAAAATATTGTTACTTACAAAGCAAACAAAAATGCTTCAAAAACCTATTTTATATTTAAATAATAAATATAACATTATTGGTGTTTTACAGTTTATTGTGTATGTTTATTGATAATAAAAGAAAACTTTTTTGAAAAAATTACAATTATTTATTTAAATTGCATGAAATTTTGATATTTAGTAAGTTTTAAATATAATTTTAGATACAAATTTACAGAAATGGACAAAAGTTACAAAACAATTCAAAATTTGTAATATTTTAGTTAAAATAGTATCAAAAGAATGTTTATTTTTTTTTTAAAAAAAATAGCAAATAGAGTCCGTCTTTTAATGTTGTCCTTTCTTTAAATGTTGTCCCTTTTGCTAAAATACACAAAAACGTATAAATAATTGGGAATTAAATAATAAATCATAAAAACGGTAAAAACCCCCAAAACATTAATTTTCTCGCGTTTAGTAAGTTATCTTGAAATAGTCATGTTATTAAAATCTTAAAATGGAGGGCCAACGTTTAGAAAATGACTCTATTATAGAGATATAAACTTCAAAAGACGTTTTGTAAATGCGAAAATGAAGGCTCAAATCTTAAAATTGAAATTTTTATACCAATTTAAAAACAACTTAAAATATCAAATACATATCGATGGCCGACCGTGATAAGTCGTTTGCAGTGTTATTTTTTATACATTTTATCAAAATGACTTAAATAACACGTAGAGGTGATCAGTTAAAGATGTTATTAGATTGAAAATACTATTTAAAGTGTATAAAAACAACAAATAAATATCACGTTTAGGTACAAAACCAATACATTTTAATCATACATAAGATCTTAATGAAAATTGACAAATAACTTATAGCAGCCTATTTGCTAAATATGCTGCTGAAAGCGAATTGTAGGAAGTCTTGTTCACCTTATACGAATAAAATGAACAAAATAACCGAATAAAAAGACGACTGACTTGACAGTCCAAGTTGATCAATTGACTAACAAAATAATGAAAAAAAACAAAAAGGAAATAGACTTATGACTTGAATGCAATTCGCTTTCACCTCCTTTAAAACAGTCTTCAGTCGCCTTTCAAATTGTCCTCTGTATTGTGCAACAATAATCAGGGCACCCATTTCAAGTTCGATGAGTTTGTATTTTTTTACTTTTGGCTGCAACAAACCCTTCCAAATAGCTGTCTTACCAACGCCAGGCTCAATAATCAAGACGGGGTTGTTATTTGTCCATCGTGACAAATTTTGAATGTTCTATCATTGAGAGAGCAACTTAATTTTGAAAGAATTACCACCCAACAAGCTAAAGTCCAGAAAAAGAAATGTGTGGAAAAAAATTCAAGAAGTGATGTAAAATAAATACGAATTTGGTGAATATAAAGAACAAATGGAAAGTTTGTTAAATTGTTAACTGCTCAAAAGGTTGATTTACAGAAAATATTTGAAAAGAAAAGAGTAATGAAACATAAGTTTTCAAAGAAACCTTAAGACTTGGAGCCAAAGTTACACATTCAGAAGCTAAATTATCGGACAATTGTAGCTTTAATTAGTCAATTGAAAGCATCATACTAAACAGAATCAGAAGGAATTTGAATTTTAAAAAGAAAGAAGCACAGAACGCCACAGTTACCAAAGCTAAAAAACAAGAGAAAATGTATACAAAAAAGGTTATTGTAAAACTTGCAGAATTTGAATAAAATGAGTTTGAATAAATGCACTTAAATTGGAAAAACATAAAAATGTGAAAAAGACACAACAATCAATTAAAGACAACGAATTGAAAATCATTGAGTTAAAAGAATCAAGCCAAAATATATTTAAAGTAGCGAAAGTGAAAGAAGTAAAAAAGGTATTTTTATAAATTATTGAAATTGTGTTTGGTTTATAAAGCATGTTTTCAAATGGTCTTAAAATAACTTCTTAGTTTGTATTTTTGTTTCAATTTGGAATCGAATAACAAGTAATACCCCTTTAATGTTTTTCTATCTTGTCATTACAACTTCTAATTATAAATTGATGTTATTGTTACTGTGTTTGACGTTTTACTATTAAATAGTGCTGTCTTTTGATAATATTTTGATATTTTATTAATAATTATATATTGGTTCTTAATTTTGGAACTTAATTTTATTTCAGTTAATTAGTTTCATTTGATAGTAATATAATAGTTATCATATAGTTATTTGTTTTACTTCTGATGGTTTTTATATAGTTATTTAATAATTATTGTATAATTGTTTTTTATCTATTAAATTATTATGGTAATGTTTGTCTAAGTTTCGTTGTTGATTTGTTCTTAATGATGTTTTAGAACATTTCCCCCTTTTGTTATGT